AAAACCAGAAAATTTCTTGAAGTACGGCATTCAAGTTACCTAACATATCGAAGTGGATACAAATGATCAGTTTTTATGATGAATCAACCAAATGATGATTAAATTAAGAGTAATAGATTTATCACATATTAGATGTTATTTTTTCTCAAAGAAATTATTAATATTGGCAGTCAGTTAGGTACCATAAAGTTCAATAAATGAAATGGTGTTTAGGGCAATAACTCACCTGAAATAAGTTTACCTCGATTTACCGGAAGTTTTTTTGAAAAGTCTACATTTTCACCATCCATTATACTGTTAGTTTTTCTTAAAGATTTGAAAGCATTTGTCAATTCTGTAAGCATTTCTACACTAGGAGATTGTAAGTTATTTTTAGGATTAGTTGAAATTGTTGATGATAATCTTTTGGTAGGTTCCACTCCTGAATCTTCAGTAAATGTAAATGTAATTTATATAAATCACAAAGATATATACACAATCAAGACAAAGATTATGAAAATTATTCATATGTGTTGTATAATATACTAGATATATGAAATGAATACTTGCAAAATGTTAAAAAGGAATTAAAACCATATTTGAAAAGAGAAATAATCATTTTTCAGTGTATATATATGATGTGGTTATTGGTTAGTGATAAAATAATAATGATACAATGTGTACAAAGAAAACTTTAATAAAATGGTTTTGAGATGGTGGAAAAGATCTGTAGCTCAGGTGGATGATTTTGATGGAGTTTTGTTCTCTGAGCTGGATGGTTTGGTCGTGGAACTTTCATCATTCTTCTGAACGACATCATCAGCACAAACTTCTACGACCAAACCATCCAGCTCAGAGAACAAAACTCCACCAAAATAAAACGGTTTGTATATAATACATGATAATGTAAACTTTGATATATTATAACTTGGCATTTCTTTCACGTTGCTATTTATCCAAATAAATGAATCAGGTTATTTCCCAAATAAATATTAATACTACATAATGTAAAATATCAAGATATTAAGTTATGAAGCAGTAACGATAGATTACTGACGTGAATATACCTTACCGTTTAATTTAACTTTTAAAAAAACTTACGTCAAAGATTTAGTAGACGCTACGGATGGAAGTGTTGAATAAAATAAGAATGTACTCCTATAGTGTAAACTATATATCGACAAATGGTTCAAACGTAAATAATCAATTCTGTATGAATTTAGAAATAAAGTAATGAGTGAGTGATAAAAAACTCTTTTATCAACGAATTAATCCAATTTTTTTCAAGTATTCAGGGGATATCACAAGACCATACAAAAACATGCGGCTTGAAATACATTACACGGGCCTGTATTAGCTACAGAGTAGGATTTAAAACATTTATTATTATTTATTTATTTGAAAAAAAAAACACTGATACAAGGAAGCACCAAATATATGTGCGCCATACTTCATCATTCGATTTGTGAGGGTTGGAATAATCTCCAGACACCCAAACCGAATCGAGTGATTTTCTTGGGCGAATATTGCATGAGCCTTTGACCTAGAGGTTTAATCAAGAAGGTAGTGGAGTAACGTCAGTAGATGCAGTCCCATGGTATCCGGTGACCAACAATAGGTTTATATGCCATTTGTTCCCTAACGAACCTGAAGTCTATGTGCTCCATTAGTTTGGAATCATGGTTTTCCGACTCTCCTAGATGGATCCTCCATATCCACCAACCCAGTTAAAGTACTGGATATTCGCTTTTTGTCCTCTTAGTTTCGTAAACAACACCCTCGCCACGAGAAGGCAGAGAGTAGGACTTCCCTGTCAGTGGTTGTATACACGCGGCCATGTGAGAGCATTTCGAGGGGAAGAGAGGACTCTCCCCATCCCACCCTCGGCCGTGCCAGCGCATTCGGAGGAGTAGGATTTAAAATTTATTTTATTAATTATTATTTTCAGCTCAAGTTTACTTATCGCTGTCACTGATGTATATATCACAGATGTGAGCAGTTTTCATTGTGAAACAGATGAGTACAACCATAAAAACAAAATTATTTTCAGTAACATATAAGCGCCATATTTATGAGCTAAACATCTTTCTTCCAATGAATTTACCCCCCGCCCCAAAAAAAAGCTTATGAGATAATAATTCCGAAAAAAGAAAGAGGAATCGTAGGACAACAGCATAAAACTTTATCGTGACATTGATAAATTAAAGCGTCAGCGTAATCTATGATACGATAATCGGACACGATAACAAATACACAAAGTCAGGAGAATACAAACAAAAAGACCAAATTACAAGAAACGTATATATGTTATTAATAAGACTTGTTAATCATATATTACATATTATATCCTAGGTGAACACTGATTATTACTATGATAAAGAAATGGATGACATAGATTTAATATAAATTCAATCAAACTTAATACAAAATCAATTGAATTAGGATGATAATCTGTCTACCTTTCACTAATTGACAAACAATCATTAATATATTCACTATTTTTCCGACCACAGCTTAATACTTTAAACTTTGTAGGAGAGTAGTTTAGCGATACTTCAACAATATACATTCAAAGTGTAAAACGTTTTAAACCAATTTCTCGCGGTATCAAAAAAAGTTGAAATCTACACTGTGCATACAACAAAATGGTTAGGAGTGGAACTATATTCACCCACAAGCACATACATATAGCTACACGAGTTTCATCGAACCACAATACACAGAACCACATTTGCATCAATAAAATATTCAGAAGGTTCATGGAAAACGTGAAAACAAACGGAGGAGCTCACATAGCTTCGGATCACCACTTTCTCGAGACCGAGATGAGATTGGAGCTAAAAGAGCACTGAACAGCCGAGCAAACAACATTACAAAAGTTCGATACAGTCTTCCTTCGAGATACTGACAAACTCAATTAATTCAAAATAGGTATCAGCAGCAGGTCAGGTTCCAAGACTTACAACATTAACTTAAACAAGAGGTAACTACTATGAACAACAACTGGAAAGGGATGAAGGAAGCACTGGGAAAAAAACTGGAAAAGACAACCGAAAACACGGTTGGTTTGTGAATACTGTTTGGCAGTCTATGCCCCACGAGCAGTGACAGGCGCAATTAAGTAAGTAATGCGTTGATCTTAATCTCATAAAATATTTCAGTAAACCATGTCTTGACACAACGTATAAAAACAGGTGGTTATAAGTCAAGGTGAATGCTAAGTAACACCATATTAATTAACAAAAATTTGTTTACTATTCTAAAAATCTCCTTATCAATAAGAGTAAATGCACATTGAAACTAGTGAATAGATTACAGTTACTGAAGGTGATTAAGAAAAGACGTCATTATATTGAGATTGGAATTTGATATATTATATGAGTAAGTATCCATTACAGAGCAATTGAAAGTATTTTAACACAAACCCAAACATATGAGAACTCTAACAGATCGAAGGTATATCATACAACTTTCAAAGGTAATAATTTACATGCTAATATCAGGCCAAGAGAGGAGACTGGAATTTCAGGATAGCTTAATATTCTGAATAGAAGTCTAAAATTGAATAAAATCAGAAAAATAATTGAGGCAGAAGAGTATGAAGTCGTTATATTTTGTGTTTACTCATTAACTGCTTACGACCGTTGATGTGTAATAACGTGCAACACTGAGATATGATATAATGTGTGACAATATCTCAGCATTTAACTGATACCGGGGATATCATCGACAATTCCCAATCATTAAAATCTATCGGTTTGCCGACGCAGTAGCAATTCAGAAACTTAAACTTGATTTATGTCCCCAGATAGGGACAGTCACCCACCACCCTGATAAATTCACAACTTTGATTAATATCATCTGCAAGTATTTTTGTTATCATTATTTTACAAGTGTTCTCTAAACTTATGTAAATTCAACAAACTTTGTACAATTATTACGTAACCCTTCGATTGTTAGTTCTAGACAATTATTATTCAAATTCTTTCTTTCATCAATGTCGATTACTTCATATCATTTCATATATCGATGTTGCACTTCAATACAAACACGGTTGTGCAGCTGTTGAGAAACCACGATGTATAATGAATCCACAGTATTCTGCCTCGACTGTTGTCATGGCTTTAATCAAATTTGTAGAAAGAACCAATTAGTGAAAATCCAAAATCCAAATGGAACACAATAAATGACAATAGATAAGCGGAGAGCGGAAGACGATGAGGAAATATAAATTAGAAAAAAAATTATCGACTTTGAACTTTGAAAAAATAATAGGGAATAACAAGAAAATAGATAACCTGAGGTCTCCTTAGCGTAAAGTAAACTTAACTTTTAGGGACCCTTAAAGTAATGAGCCTGTGCCTTTTAATTTTGTATCTGTAGGACGACACGGTAAGATTAAAAAACAAGATAAACAACCTCATAATGGTCAGATTATTCAAGCAAATAAGTAAAATTAAGACTAGTGTACGAATTTCGGGAAAGGAAGATATGAAACTTAGGGGCTTGACTTATGAAACAATAATCTCCAACTCCAGCAAAAATAATAAGTTTGCCAAAAACAAGGTAAACACATAGTATAAATTTGGATCCGCCAGTGTTGCTTACAAACTGACAACAGAAAACGGAACAAAAACAATCAATATCAGAGCAGAAGCGGTAGTGGTAGAAATAGCATTCGTCGTAATGACATAGATTATTCAAACAGAATATGATTCCACAAGAATGAGTTGGCGCTGTAAAAAAGTAGAACAAGTTTGAGATGTAGTAACACGCAACAGATATAGAACTAACATAGCTACGAATAACAACGAATTAAGACAATGACACAGAAAATAGCTTCGTGTAATCTAACAATCAAAACCATAACAAAATTACTAAATCACAAATGTGGAAAGATCATTGGTAAAATTAACTTCTTGAAAACGACAAAATTAATTTTGCAACTAATTACAGAGAAACAAAGGATCAGTTATCATTTCGTTAACCACTCATTTCAACAAAGTACCAATCGGACTTACCTGAATCTTTAAGTGATGGATCCGAATAATTAGCACGCATAGTGGAGTTCCGTTGTAAAGACGATGGAGCTGGTGGAGGAGGTGGTGGTGAGGGAGGTGGCGGTGGCGGTGGTATTGCAGAACGGCATTCTTTCTCAGATTCCTAAAAGCAGTGAGAGAAAGTATCAACTACAATCACGTCATGTGAATAAAAATGACAAATTAAACTCAAGTACAACATCATCCGATTAGACTGATCAGACATTATGTTTACATTGCATACATACCAAAAAACATTGATTTTCCACATCCACATGGAAAAGAGACAATGAAACAGTCACAAATGGAATCCGCTCACCATAGAAATACAAAACCACAATAATACATTTATTAAACACAACTCAATGTTTTAAACGCAATGCAACAGAAATACAAGGCAGACATAAGAATAGAAAGCACCTGAGAACAATTGGAAAACACTGCCTAAGACGGATTTGATTGGCGAATACTGGTCAACAGCCTATGCTCCACAAGGTATAACACGAATAATTAATGAAGATAACGTTGTTCAGAATACAACTAGTTAACCCAATCCAATTTAATGTCTTGTACATCCTTATCTGAATTAATCACAATTATGATTATAGTGTATTGATCAGATAAAATATTTAAACGGTTGAACCAGATGTAGGAATATAATCACGCTTTATGTAGTGAGTAAAATCAAAGTCAGAACACAACACACAACATTGTCGTCAAACTACATTTTGTGAGCAAACAAGAATCCCACGACCAGATACACAAACTCACAAAAATCATTCAAATAAAAACACAACACTCCTTAGAATATATGTTTTTCTAGGCAATATCCATAAACAAACCTTCTTTGTAATGGACGTCATTGTGGTAGATGGTTTATACTCATGAGAATTTGATTGATTGTTCACAACATCGACAACACTTGGCTTTGTAACTATTTCTTGAGAATGATTTTTGGGCGCTGAGCCTTTATTTGATTTGCGGCCTAGTAAAGCACATAAATAATAAAGGTTACAAACCATTATAACACAAATAATTTAAACATACTATAACATTCTACATACAAAGATGTATTTAAGCAGAAACATGATTTTCATTGAATATGAATATGTAGTGGAGATTGACCAGTAATACTGATCAAAAAAATAAGTGTACATCAGTTGTTGACAAAGCATGTGTGCCCTTTACCACAAAAACTACATACATAATATATGTTCACATCACAAAGCGTTTAAATAAATTAACGTTATTTTAGCGTCTTCAACAATCTTAACTATTCCATTACCGTACCTACGATAAACCAGTTGGAAAACAAGTTTTCACTTTGGACATTCGTCTATGAAAGTTCAGACGAAAAAGGAGCTAGCAATTAGAGCACATAACTGACAAAGTAATCACTTTAAGTCTGAGTTCACTGTAGGTTCGACTTGACCAATAGCATTCAAGTAACGAGATTTTAATAGGGAAGTATAATTTTGGCACGCCACTTAGAGGTGGGTTCTAATGCTGAAAACCATCTACTTCAGAGAAACACGACCACAATAGCAATAATTTACGTATCCTTAGAGCTTCATACTTGCCAATCACTATCATCGCCCACTGAAATTTATGGGACATTTGTGGTGGTAATTTTAGAACAGACTTACACTACGTAATCACCATTACTTAATCTGTCGAAATAAATACGAAAGATATCGGTTGTGCATGACACGAATTCAGAAAATTGCTGCACTGAGCCAGATATCATTGTTTAAAATGAACGGACCAGATGAAATCTACAATATTTTAGTCTGGATAGATGTACCAAGATTCATATGTTGAAAAATAACACACAGAATTGACAAAGTTGTTTACCTTCTTTTATGAATTCATCATCTAGGCGACTATCCGTTTTAAGCAAGTGCGAATCAGATTTACGAGAGTCTTTATGTGTTGACTTGGGCATGTTTGGATCATTACCATTAACAGGTTTATTGAGACTTGGAAGTATTTGTGGTGGTGGTGGTGGTGGTGGTGGTGCAGGAGAACGATATTTTTTCTCGGATTCCTAAGAGCAATGAGAGAAAGTATCAACTACAATCACGTCATGTGAATAAAAATGACAAATTAAACTCAAGTACAGCATCATCCGATTAGACTGATCAGACATTATGTTTACATTGCATACATACCAAAAAACATTGATTTTCCACATCCACATGGAAAAGAGACAATGAAACAGTCACAAATGGAATCCGCTCACCATAGAAATACAAAACCACAATAATACATTTACTAAACACAACTCAATATTTTAAACGAGTTAGTCAAAACGCTAATGCGTGCGTAGAAAGGAATCTAAGGTCATTGTGACTGAAAGAAAAACCAGCGCACACAGTACAGCTTCCACAAAAGACAAATGACAAATCGTGTGATAGTTTTCAAAATAACACTGATCACTCTTATTAGTCTATTCTACAGATCAGAATCAATGGTAAATATATTTATTTTATGAACAAGTAGGACATAAATTATCTGAAAACATTGGCTTCAGTCTGTCTGGCGCAAACTCAGTGTCTAGAAGACCATTTATAACTCCGCCTTCAGGCCTTCTAGGTTCACTGCTAGTCCCAAACTCGGATAAGGATGCAATTTTGGGCATGGGTTTATTAAACCTTTCTGAAAAATAGCTAATCAGAAAAATCATTTCAATCATTCAAACTCTCTCCTGTGAGTTGAAGGACAATAATTCAGAAGAGTCATGACGGCCTCAAGTGGAAGACGAGATTTTCTAGAAGTCATGAGTACGATGCCCCTTCTGACAACCAGAGCGACAATTAATATAGGTACATGGAATATCCAAACAGTGGAGGAGACCGGGAGGACCAGTGAAATAGCTCCCGAAATCAGGAGATAAAACCTGGTGTTCGGAACAAGTGAACGCATTGCACCCATGATAGATAGAAAAAATCGCCTTCAAGAGAGTAGCTATTGTACTCTAGTGATGAGGGAGAAAATCTGTGGCATACACAGAGTTGCACTGATGATTTTCATAGAAATACGAGAACTCATGAGATTGGAATCTCATGAACCTAGGATCATCAAAAGATACTTCAAAACACAGAAGGGGGGATCCTAATGAATGTTATCCAGTGCTATAGGCACATCAATCATATCAAAGAACACTATAAAGAACAGTATTATGAGAGGCTCTAGTCGATCGTAGATAAGTGCTCACTAAAAGACCTGACAATCAGGATGGGAGACCTAAACACTAAGGTTGGGATGGACAACATCAGGCATGGAGATACCATGGAACGACATGGACTAGGAGAAAAAGGAACGAAAATTGTGAGACGTTTGCAAATTTATATGCATTCAACAAAATGGTTAGGAGTGGAACTATATTCACCCACAAGCACATACATATAGCTACACGAGTTTCATCGAACCACAATACACAGAACCACATTTGCATCAATAAAATATTCAGAAGGTTCATGGAAAACGTGAAAACAAACGGAGGAGCTCACATAGCTTCGGATCACCACTTTCTCGAGACCGAGATGAGATTGGAGCTAAAAGAGCACTAAAAAGCCGAGCAAACAACATTACAAAAGTTCGATACAGTCTTCCTTCGAGATACTGACAAACTCAAATAGTTCAAAATAGGTATCAACAGCAGGTCAGGTCCCAACACTTACAACATTAACATAAACAAGAGGTAACTACTATGAACAACAACTGGAAAGGGATTAAGAAGTATCAACTTCAACATGACTGGAGCTGCTGGGTCGCAAGTAGCACCGTCATAAACAGTAGGTCTCTATTGATATCCTGAACAAAAGTAAAGGATGGAAAGAAGGAAGTACAAGAAAACAGTAATTACGAACAGCCGAACAACAGCAGAGAAAGCCAAGGCACAAGGAGAATATACCGAAGCAAACAAGCGAGTGAACAGGAGCGGAAATATGTGGAACGCCAAGCGATGATAGCGGAAAAAGTTGCAAGAGAAGGAAATATGACACAGTTATATAATACAAAGAATAATCTACCAAGAGAATATAGTAAAACACAGTGTCCAATCAAGGACAAAGAAGGTAAACCACACATTGAGATTTAAGAACAGACGGACAGGTGGATAGAACACTGTGGAGATCTCTTGAATGAGCCAGCTCCACTGAACCCACTGAACATCGAAACAGCACACACAGACCTTCCTTATAGCTGTCACTCTACCAACAATCGAAAAAAATCAACATGGCCATCCGACAAATCAAGAGCTGGAAAGCAACAGGACCTGACAATATACCAGCTGAAGCACTGAAGTCAGACACAGGAGCAACAACAAAGAAGCTACACGTTCTATTCAGGAAAAATTTGGCGAGAGAACAATTGCTGACAGACAGTAGAGAGGGACATCTCATCTCATCATGATACCAAGGAAAGAAAATCTCAGCAAGTGTGAGAACTATACAGGCATCACATTACTGCCAGTACTAGGAAACGTTCTCAACACAGTGTTGTTGAACCCGAGTAGACGCCTAACAGGCTGCATTTCATCAGGTTTGATGGTATACCGACCAAATCGCGGCACTACAGATCACCGTTGAACAATCAGTTAAATGGAACACATCGATTAACATCAACTTCCCCGACTATGATAAACCAATTAACGGTGTAGAAGGGAGAACCTTATAAACCTTTCTTTGACATTGTGGTGTACCTGAGAAGATCTTCAACATAAGGAGTTTTAACGATAAACTACACTATAAACTCGAGCATGGAGGGTAGCACACAGATCCATTCCAAGTGAAGACGGCTGTCGGACAGGACAGCTTATTATCATCTTTTCATTTTCTTCTGGTGGTTGACTCGATTCACACCTGAGGAAAAACATGGAATAAAATGGACAGCTCGGAGTCAACTAGACGAGTTTGGAGATGACCCGCCCCTTTTATATCTCATACATAAACTCACCAAAATCATTCAAATAAAAACACAACACTCCTTAGAATATATGTTTTTCTAGGCAATATCCATAAACAAACCTTCTTTGTAATGGACGTCATTGTGGTAGATGGTTTATACTCATGAGAATTTGATTGATTGTTCACAACATCGACAACACTTGGCTTTGTAACTATTTCTTGAGAATGATTTTTGGGCGCTGAGCCTTTATTTGATTTGCGGCCTAGTAAAGCACATAAATAATAAAGGTTACAAACCATTATAACACAAATAATTTAAACATACTATAACATTCTACATACAAAGATGTATTTAAGCAGAAACATGATTTTCATTGAATATGAATATGTAGTGGAGATTGACCAGTAATACTGATCAAAAAAATAAGTGTACATCAGTTGTTGACAAAGCATGTGTGCCCTTTACCACAAAAACTACATACATAATATATGTTCACATCACAAAGCGTTTAAATAAATTAACGTTATTTTAGCGTCTTCAACAATCTTAACTATTCCATTACCGTACCTACGATAAACCAGTTGGAAAACAAGTTTTCACTTTGGACATTCGTCTATGAAAGTTCAGACGAAAAAGGAGCTAGCAATTAGAGCACATAACTGACAAAGTAATCACTTTAAGTCTGAGTTCACTGTAGGTTCGACTTGACCAATAGCATTCAAGTAACGAGATTTTAATAGGGAAGTATAATTTTGGCACGCCACTTAGAGGTGGGTTCTAATGCTGAAAACCATCTACTTCAGAGAAACACGACCACAATAGCAATAATTTACGTATCCTTAGAGCTTCATACTTGCCAATCACTATCATCGCCCACTGAAATTTATGGTGCACATGGGCTCCAGTATCCTGCGTATGAACCGATCGTTGGTCACCGGCTACCATGGGATTGCATCTCCTTACGATGCTCCACTGCCTTGTGGGTTAGACCTTTAGGTCAAAGGCTCGGGGAGTGGCCCCCTAAGATAACCACCTGCTTCGGTTCCGGCACACGGGTAGTATCACAGCCCACACACAAATTGATGAACTCTCTATGCCTATTGAAATTACCTTTCTCGCTTCGAAAAACAAGCAATTGATTCAGATTATTATCATTACAATTATTGTCATTATTAATACTATTATTATTACTACTACTATTATTGTCATTATTATTATTATTATTAATATTATTATTATCATTATTATTATTATTATTTTCCACATTATCCACCCTCTTTTATACTTATACAGCGGCTCGTCTTTGGTGGAAATTCGACTGTATCTAAACGTTCTCGAGTCACTGTCCGGTTGAAAATTGTATGTTACCACCGAATACGAGGACTGAAGCAGTTTTTCTGAAACCACGTGCACCATTCAAACTGGCTGCCTTCAATGTTCGCACATTTATGCAGGTCGGACAACAGATAAAGCTGGTTATGTCTTTGGAAAGTCTTAATATTGATGTTTGTTGTCTATCCGAGACCCGTATTCAAGACTCCATGGCCGGTGACGACTGATCCACCAAACGAGGAGGAAGTCCGCAAGGAACTCCAACTCTTGAAGCGTTACAAATCACCTGGCCCAGATGACCTACCTCCGGCTCTTTTTAAAGATGGTGGTGACTTTTTGACTAAGGAATTGACGACGTTGTTTACAAAGGTTTGGGAACTAGAGGGTGTACCAACGTCATGGAATGAGTCGATAGTTGTCCCTATCTTTAGAAAGGGTTCACGTCGTTCCTGTAACAACTATCGGGGGATAAGTCTACTTCCAATTGCGTCCAAGCTATTGGCTTCCGTCATACTTCGTAGGTTGTTCAAAACCCGAGAAAGATTGACTCGCGAGGAGCAGGCTGGGTTTCGTTCTGGTCGAGGATGTATTGATCATACCTTCACCCTTCACCAAATGTTAGAACACCGCCATACTTATCAAAGGCCAACAATCGTAGTGTTTCTTGACATCAGGGCTGCCTTCGATTCGTTGGACAGGGCTGTTTTCTGGGATTGTCTATTGAAGAAGGGTGTGCCTGAGAAGTTTATTAACATCCTAAAAGCTCTGTATAAAAACACCTCAGGCAGAGTGAGGGCATACAACCACCTTTCTCCATTGTTCCATTCGAGCAGTGAGGTTAGGCAGGGTTGCCCAATCACAACATTCCTCTTCAACTTTGCCATCGATGACATTCTGGAAACAGCTCTGATGAATGTAAGTAATGGTGGTGTGGATCTGTTGCCTGGAGAAAGACTTCTCGACCTTGAGTATGCGGACGATATTGTCTTACTGTGCGATAATGCCCAAGGCATGCAATCCGCACTTAATCAGTTGGCAATCAGTGTCCGTAGGTATGGTATGTGCTTTGCACCTTCGAAGTGCAAAGTACTCCTACAAGACTGGCAGGATTCCAATCCTGTACTCACCCTGGATGGTGAGCAGATAGACGTATTTGAGAAGTTCGTGTATCTGGGTAGCTGCATAAGTGCTGGTGGGGGTGTGAGTGATGAGATCAATGCACGAATAGTGAAAGCCAGAGCGGCTTATGCCACTCTGGGACACCTTTGGCGCCTTCGTGATGTTAGTCTGGCTGTAAAAGGTCGGATCTACAACGCGTCGGTGAGAACAGTTTTGCTCTATGCTTGTCAAACGTGGTTTCTCCGAGTTGAGGATGTTAGACGACTCTCTGTGTTCGATCATCGCTGTCTCCGAAGGATTTCTGACATTCAGTGGCAACACCATGTCAGTAATGCAGAGGTTCGGCATCGTGTGTTCGGGCACAGAGATGATAATGCAATCGATGTCACCACCTTGAAACACCGACTTCGGTGGCTTGGACATGTTCTCCGAATGTCGTCCCAGAGAATTCCACGTCGTGCATTATTTGCCGACTCTGGGACTGGTTGGAAGAAGCGGAGAGGTGGTCAGTGCATGACATGGTGTCGTGGTATGAAAGAAGGCTGCAAAGGACTGGCTTCTGTCGGTCCTTTACGACTCCCTGGTTGGGGTCTGAGAGATGATGCAACACAGTGGCTAGAGACGTTATCAGATATGGCTCAGAATAGAAGCCAGTGGCGATCCTGCTGTAATCTTCTTTTACTTTCTTCAGAAAAAGTGGTTGTGTTTCCCTTACCTGAAAGATTTCTTCCGATTGTACCTTTGCGTTCCCTCATTACTACCACACTACCTTACACCAATCTCTTCGTTATTGTTCTCTTTTTTTTCTATTTCTCTTCGAATTCTCATTGTTTTGTGTGGCGCATATATATTGGCGCTCTCTTGTACCAATATTTATGTGTTCAAATAAACAAATAAATAAATAACGTAATCACCATTACTTAATCTGTCGAAATAAATACGAAAGATATCGGTTGTGCATGACACGAATTCAGAAAATTGCTGCACTGAGCCAGATATCATTGTTTAAAATGAACGGACCAGATGAAATCTACAATATTTTAGTCTGGATAGATGTACCAAGATTCATATGTTGAAAAATAACACACAGAATTGACAAAGTTGTTTACCTTCTTTTATGAATTCATCATCTAGGCGACTATCCGTTTTAAGCAAGTGCGAATCAGATTTACGAGAGTCTTTATGTGTTGACTTGGGCATGTTTGGATCATTACCATTAACAGGTTTATTGAGACTTGGAAGTATTTGTGGTGGTGGTGGTGGTGGTGGTGGTGCAGGAGAACGATATTTTTTCTCGGATTCCTAAGAGCAATGAGAGAAAGTATCAACTACAATCACGTCATGTGAATAAAAATGACAAATTAAACTCAAGTACAACATCATCCGATTAGACTGATCAGACATTATGTTTACATTGCATACATACCAAAAAACATTGATTTTCCACATCCACATGGAAAAGAGACAATGAAACAGTCACAAATGGAATCCGCTCACCATAGAAATACAAAACCACAATAATACATTTACTAAACACAACTCAATATTTTAAACGAGTTAGTCAAAACGCTAATGCGTGCGTAGAAAGGAATCTAAGGTCATTGTGACTGAAAGAAAAACCAACGCACACACAGTATAGAGTTCACAAACGATGAGTAAAAATTCGTACTATATGTTCCGACCTAGAGTTTTTTTTATAATTGGCGGTCCATATAAAAGAATGTAATTATTAGGAGGTAATAATTATATTTGAAGTTGTTATATTTGTTGATTATACTTGTTTAATTTTGTGATAATTAAAATTCAGCTTCTTTATTATGATATTCATTTATCAGTGGTAAGTGCTACACAGTTTAATTTACTCAAAATGTGGCTGTTGTTTATTGTAAACAAAAGAAGTTTTGAAATGTAGTTTTTGATGTATTTCTAGTGTTATATAAATATTTGTTCTGTGTACCTGTCTTTTTCCTTGTATTGTATCATATCACTTTTGTTTATTTATAGCACAAAATGAATAATGAATACGTTGGAATTATAAAGCAGTAAGACAAAAATTGTCTGAAATTGTTGGCTTCATACTATCTGGCTCAAATTCAATATCTAGTCGATCATTTTTGTTAAGATAAAAACTATTCAAAGCTCTCTGATTTACTGTCTTATACATCTTTAACTGAATTCATCACAATTATGTTTATGGAGTATTGATCAGGTTAAATATTTAAACGATTGTAGTGGGTGCAGGAATATTCCTACGCCTGAATTAATAGGTATAACCGATGCTGGTATAAAAAGCACTACATTTCTGACAAGTTACATCCTTTTGTTTTGTATTATCACTAAAGGGACTGGAATGTCTTGACCACGGGCTTTGTATTTACTAAGATTTGTCAAGAAGCGCTTCTGAAACGTTTAGAAAAATTATGTCCGCCCAGATGATTCTCGAAACATCGCTTAGTGCTCCAGTCATTTATTATTAGTTAGTTAGTTAGTTCACGAACTGAGCTGCTTGGTCTTGGAGTAATCACTTTCCCAGTGCTTGTAAAAATTAATTAACCGAGGAAGCAATGTTTTTGGTAAGTGAACCAAGATATGCCCACGTTTCTAATTTAATATTATATCAACTCAGTTTTGACGTAGGTTGTTTAATACAGCTGCGTTCATGTATCTTCTAAATTAAAGAAATACTCTCCCCGAAATGTATATATTGGCAAGACAAAAATTCATGAGACAAAATACAAACACGCAAACCTTCTTTGTATTTGAATTCACCATGGTAGACGATTTACGCTTGTGTGAATTTGATTTATCTTTCACAATAAATGATTTACTCCGTAATTCTTGAGAGCAGTTACTAATTGAGTCCCTATTTGCCTGAGATCCTAATAAAGAAAAGGAATAATACAATAAATGAAAATCAATTCAGTATGAATTGTCTATAGTAAGTTCAGAGCAGTGATACCACAGTGAACAATGAATCACTTGAATAACTCTATAAAGTTTAAAAATAAGTGATATGTATTACTGTAGACTGAATTCACTGATTAATAAACACTTACATTTCATTAGTTATAAATCAGCATTCCTAAAACTACTTTGTAAAATTCTAAATGATTAAAATATTAGATGTTGGATAAGTCTCAAAGATCATTCAGTGGAATCTCACCCACACACGAATTATATAACAAATACTAAATGTTCAATGCTTTTTAAAACAAATTACCTCAGTAACAAAGAAGTAATCAACCTTTCACGACGAATTCTTAGACTAATTTATTACCTACTTATTTGTCTGATTTATCTTTTTCTGTGTAATTAACAATATAACTGTTTAACAATAACTTGAAGTACTGTTCAGTTAGTAGGTATCATTACCAAGGTTTAACTTGATAATTTCGAATAAATCGAGCATTGGGTAGATTGTTATAAATAAGTTAATATATTCGCAATGTCCCAAAGAGTAGAAAAATGAGATTTTCTGACGTTTCGTGACTTAGTGTAGGCCACTTCTTCAGAGAACAAACAACCAAATTAAAATTCTTGTTGTTCCGTTGTACTATTTAAACTTGGATTTATTTCAATTTTGTTGTTTATTCTCTGAAGAAGCGGTTTACACCAAGTCACGAAACGTCAGAAAATCTAATTTTTCTACCCACTGGGATATTACAAATATCTTATTTACTGTTCAGTTTTATTTTATTTTTCTATTTACAGAAATAATATAAGAAAATACAGAATTGACCAGCCCAAAAATGATCAACAGAGACTAGAACTTACCAACAACTGAATTTCGTTTATCGTCCAATTTTTTATTATCATTTTTCTTACTTGGTAGTGTTACACAACTAGAAGACTGTACCTTGTCAGGTACATCGGCAAAAGGTGATAAATGTCGATGAGTTATTTGTTGTTTAGCAGGTACACTTGGTGCTGGACGCCTTTTATGCTTACTTTCAGTAGAGATCTTAGTTAACAATAACAACACAGAAAAGATTATAAATTAATTAAACAGCTATTAGGCCTAGAAAAATCATAAAGTATTGTACATAAAGCTTGCAATTCAACTATATTTATTACTAACTTTTACCATATATTCATGTTAAAATTACTTATCAGAAAATTTATTTTAAACCAACTCAATTAATAAGCCCTTGATCATGACTCAGTATATCATAGTTCGAATGGTTGCACAGTTAGAAGACAGCCATCATTACAGACAAAAATACCAGGGAAACCTGAATGTTAATGACTTACAATTCGATGTAATGTTGTAATTATGGTTTGTTGAGATGTTTAAAACAAGGACAGATATCTAGTGGCTACTCGGTTTGGGTAGTTCATTAGATGATATTAGTCTATGATGAACACGTTGAAAATGATAAAATTGTGAATAAACGCCAAAGTGAGCTATTATGATTATTACTAGTAATTTCTTCGCTTCATATGATTCATTGTAAAAAGAATTCTGTTAATTATTAACGCATAATTAACGATAACATTTATCCCTGTTCTTCAATTAAAATACACACAGATATCCAGATGACCTTATGTAATTAATGATAAATTAACTATTTTTCGACTTTTCACACTATCATAATTGCTATTATTACGGCCCACCCACCCTTTATTGAGTAGCATTCTTGGACAATACTTCACTCGACAAGTCTCTAAATAAGAACACGGTTGAATAGGAACGTAATTATATTCCAAATAACAAGGTTGAATAGAAGTAGGAATCCCAACAAGATAAACGTCAGAATATTTATAATTTTCACATGAGAAGATTCTTCTCCAAGTCTCCGCTAGCGCTGATTGCTCAAGAAATAGCCGACCAGAGTGCCTCAACACAATGCTGCACAAAGTATGCTTCAATTCAATCTATGTACCGCTAACACAAACTTAGTCTCTTGTAAAATAATATTCTGGTGTACTATTATTATTATTACTACAGATATTATAAAAATAAATTTTGTTTACTAGAGAGTACTCTGACCTAAAATGTTAATAGTCTAGAAATCATTATCAGAAATGGGTTTTGTGGAGATTGTAGTAATTTAACAGTTGAATTCATGAGTGGATTAAAGCCAGACCACCTTGGAAAGCCTGGAAGCACTGCATGGCCGTTTCGTCCTCGTACGAGACTCCTCAGCGATGATCATCCACGACCCCGCTTGCGGGATCCGAACTCAAGACCTCTGATCCCGCGTGCCAACGCTTAACCTCTAGACCACTGAGGCAGCATCCAACAGTGTAAATGTCTAACTTCAACCAATCCGCGAAATTGCGCCACCATGGATGCGCACTTCTGAGGAGTCCCATACTAGGACGAAAAGGTCGTCTAGCGCTTCCAGGTTTTCCAAGATGGTCTAGCTTTAATGGACTCGTGAAGTCTAGAAATTATCTTTAAACAACAATGTGACGTTAATTAATTACAAAAAATAAAACAGTGGTCTTCTAGGTTGAAACATCCATTTAGAGTTTTCAAATCACTATATCAGAGGCTAAAAATGTAAAAACTTGGGAATGTGTGTCAATAGTCAATGAATTTAAGAATTGATTCAATGACATGCGACTTTTTTTATCCCACTACTATGCTGCAAATCGCTGGCTAGTGATATGTAACACAAACCTAAACAAATTCACTCGTTGAAAATCCAGGACTCTCCAAAAGACTGGCTACTAACATAGCTTCTTTAATACTAAGTCACTTATGTTATCAACTAATTCAATATAAATGATGGAACTCAAGAGGTAACTGAAATGGCCATTTTAAAGAATAGCTGAACAAAATTCTTACTTCCACTTCCAAATTAGATATCAGAGAGTCATCATTTTGACTCTTTTTGTGTGACTTTGAGTTCTTGCTAGATTTAACTTTTCGTTCTGCAAGATAAAAGATTTAAAAAATCATAACAGACAGACACCAAGATATTAATATAGGAAGTGATTTGCAAGTTTTAACAATTTTTAATAGCTGTAAATTCATACAACTGGAGAAATTACATCAAGCGGCTTTCTCATCTATTTGTTTACAAACAAGCGTGCAAGTAACCGTCAAGCAGCGATTCAGTTAGGCAAGCTTAACTGTTCAAATATCACTGTCTAATTTTTGAACCATATTTCTTATGTTTAGCCTTACATCGGAACAGCCATTAATATTTTTACCGTTCTTTCCATTCCAGTGATATTCTTTCGCATAGCTCTTTATTCAGTATACACATAGAACCTTGGTTGTTCCTTGAAGATAAGCTAAGAGTTAACTATCCAAACTTCATTTCTCACACTTAAACTACCATTGCTTTTCATGTTATTTTCCATACTATGCTTCCCATTTTGTCTGATTCCTCTAGCTGCATTGATGCAAGCGGAGGCGACTTGGAGTGACGCAAACCTATCCCAGGTCCTACATAGATAACGACTAATTGACTGACTGATTACTTAAAGATAAGATCAAATAATTTTAGTTTTTCTAAGTAATCAACCTTTGACGACCACGTTAAGTGGCTACATATTGAGAGAACAATAACTCATGTTCAAAATGAACAGTCTCGGAGACCAAATATTTCGACACTCCTGCGAATGTGGCAAAATGGTGAAACAAAGTAGATTTAAACGTAATACATGCTATTGGACAGTAACCATGTCCTAAAAAGAATAGCAAACCACTCGGCGATTGGTTGATTAGTGATATTATTATAACTATGTAGTCTCAAGTGGTATATTACAATTGTTTGACACTCACTATAACCGAACTACAAAAAGACTCTTGAAACAAATATATCAGTGAAATTTTTAATCCTTAAAATAGCTGCCAGGTTCTACGTTGTTTATGACTGACCTTAGAACATAGTCACTAAGGAAATGATAGAAAGGCTGTTTCAGAATTAAGAAAGAATAAATAAATGATAAAAGAGCTATTTCGTAAACCTGAAATTTAGCTAGTTTTTTAATCACATGACTACAATTCAGAATTAAAAGATCATGCAACCAAGGATTTTAATCATTATAAGACCATAATCTTTCCAGTAAAGACAGGAAGAATTAAGCGCCAATTTAAGTAGCCCTTGATGGTCGTTCTGAGCAACTCTGGCTGCCGGGTTATCGAAAGCTATCGGTTTTATTTATATCACGTTTGTTACATCTATATCAACTTTGCAGAAGCTAGTAACAAGATAATAAATGGGTTATTATAAAGAAATCCAAACCGAGTTACCAACCTTTAAGTTCAATTTGGTCTGCATTTTGATTTAAGAATGTATCTTTTGGATCTAAAATCGTTCCCTTTTGGGGATCAGTAATGTAGTAGTTGCTTAATTGAACATGACGCTCCGAAGACACCTGAAATGAAAGCAAGGTAAAATCGATGGCGCTAAACATGCATATCGTCAGTAATTGAATACATCACACACCGAATAGTACACGTTAGTCCCTAAAATTGTCAAAAGATTCAGCTCACTGAAAGTTAAAGGAATAAATCGGCAGATTCAGACTACGATATATTTACCGCCTCAGACAAATCATACCACTTAAAGGTCTGGATCCCATTGGTCAATAAGAAATAAAGCATACAACCTGAGGAAGTTAGACCGGCTTCAGACCTGGTTGTCGATGTACTGAAAGTCTTCGCCGTTCAGTAGGTTTGAAAACACAGGCACCTGTACTACCAGCCAGTTGTGACCATGTTTCTTAACCTGAAAAATCAGTAGTCTAAGTCGGTCACCTTTGGTATCGACGCGACATATTTGAGAAAAATAAACAGAAGTATGACAATACAAATGTGCATCAGTTCAAATCTTCTACGTTTCGTACTGCCATATCTAAAGGAAATTAGAACGACAAGGAGTGGAAACAATGATACTGACGGTAATAAATGATGTAAAAATAGAGATAACAGAATTCAAAGTACAGAACAAATCGGCAAAGCTAAAGAAATAGTAAGTTTAGGCAGCATCGCGCCAAACTACTATGCAAAATTCGACCGAAAAATGCTTACTTTTTGAAGTACTTTACTAATAGGTTGATCCAAATGTCCACGAACGACAATTGTGCAGTCTTCTGGTAAATGCACAGTAATCCGATGACCCAGCTAATTTTAGAAATGCAGATAAAAAAGCAGTAATGTAGTGCATCAACAAGCATACATTTACAGAACAACAGCTTTGAAGTTTTTCCTTCTACTATACAGTAGTAAAAACTTTGTATGGCAAAAACCAGTAGTGGATAAAAAGAAAAACACATAAGTGAAATCATTGCGACGTATAAATGATTCAGAGGTCAAACTAGTTTTAGGGGATTAAGAAATGAACGGAATTTACGAATTATTATTACAGTAGAATACCCCGTGAGTTAAGATCAAAGAAAAAGCAAGTACTGCTTGACAAACACATTAGACGGAATGGTAGTTGTCTAAAAACTGTAAATGAGCACTTTGAAACCAGTTGTTACCATCATTAATAGTGGTATGATTTTGGTAGAGAAAATAGAAACTGCTGACTACTGAATTATGTGATTTAGAGCTGATCTCCAATAACTTCGACACAAAACATGTTTAAAAATACTTTTTTCTTTTTGTGTCTACTTAAACCACTGTTCAAAACTTTGTGTCTAGCTAATGAAATAAAATCCGACGAGGTCATTAGTAACTCAGTAAACGGAAAAAAATTATTTATAACTCACTTCGTTTAAAAATTCTCTCCCCGTTTTTAGGAGTGTAATAGGGTATTTGAACTTCGTGTCAAGGAATGGATACTGATAAAGCTTAGCAGACTTCTTGAAACAGCATTTAGCAATGAGCCTAACCATAGATGGTAGCGTTGTTTGAGTTGTATCAGAATTAACCCAATGGCCAAGCCTACTCCTAGAAGGAGCAGAAAGCCAAAAGATGCCTGAAACTCCAGAAAGGCCCTCGCAAGGAACTAAGAAAGTGTAATCCACTGCTTCCAAGCCAGATAATGAACAAAGTCGAACGAGGAAATCAGAACATTGCATGTCGAAGTCCACACCATAAACGCGAATAAACTCTTCAGTAGCGATACACTCGACGTCGACATACGATCCATTATCACCACAATTCATATAATAAAATCTCGTGGGATCATAATTTTCAAAACCCCGGGAGTTGCTGCCGAATTCTGAACGATCCTTAGAGGACTTCGAGTAGACGATGTTCTTAAGCCTTTCAATTGCATCAGCCAAACCCATATCCTTAGTTAATGTGTAGTATTAAATTTGAAACACTACAGTCCCCACAGAAATTCCCAGCAAAATTGACAAGAGTCGTCAGTGGACTAGTAGAAAATGAAATAAATATTTGATTTAGGAATTTATCCCAAATTTTAGTTTATGTTTATAAACTTTCCAATGTTACCACCTAGAAAAAACTTCAAAAAAAAAACAAGACAATTCACTGTTTTGAGATACAGTACTGCCTAATATATTTATTTCCCAAACTTAGATAAAACAGAATACACTACGTACAACAGCATTCTTAAAAGTCTTCAATTTTGTTTTGCTGACAAAGACGATTTTAACACAAAAGGTGTTACCATATCTAAATATGGGTATTTACTGGAATGTTTTTTTAATTACAAAGGTAACAGATGTCTAGATTTTCAGTGATATTCAAATTCCTAGTTCCTTCAACTTTATGTTTATTCACTTTTACACACTTTATGCATATTGTCATGTTATTCCTCACTATTGCTTCGATTTAAAATGACAAAAGAACACTTTTGAAAAGCTAAATGTAAAACTAAGTTGATATGACCTCGCGCGAGTAGTAATTATTTCAAAGTGAAATGATATGCAGAATGTGAACAAGACAAAACCCCGCCTCTGTTTCATTAGGTCACCTGAGGAAGACCGTACTAGTAGTGGTACAAAAAAACAAACTACAATGTCCAAGAAAACTGAATTTTCTGTAATTTGTTGCGAAGTCATATTTGTGTAATACGCTTTCACGTTACGAAGTTAATAAATACCCGAAATAAACAGTTCTGTACTGGTAGTATTGATGGTTGTGAACTACCGAGGAGTACCGTAGTGAGACGAAATGGCCGTTCAGTGCTTCCTGTCTTCGATAGTAAGGATGGGAGAACAATCCACCTATCTCAATCCTAGCAATTTATAATACCGCGAAGATCCGATCTCTCGCTGAATGTATCAAGTGCTGACAGCGTGTTCTCGAAAAGAACATTAATTCACTACTCGGTTTGATAAGTGCGTAGCGGCAAATAAGTCCCTGAGATAAATGGCTAAACAAGGCTTCGGCATTGACGATGATGTCATTGGTTTTACTAGGCACATCCTGACCGAAGGCGCTTGATCACACATCCAAATCAGACCGCGAGTAGGCACGCCGTGCTACACATCATTTTGACTACCAGCCAGGTCAGATTAAGCGCTCCTCAATATATCGACAATCTTCCAAATATGTGTTCAAGTCCGTTTGTACTTAAATCTTGATTTAACAGGGTTGGCACACTTCCACGAACAAGGTGTTACGGATAAGAGCGTTATCAGACCCTGAAAATCTGTGCCAATAGTTGACGAGGTCAAAATATGACTTGAGAAGAATAAGTAAATTAGTCCGTTTTGAAGCTAGAAAAACCTATGTGGGTTGATATAGTACTAGCCACTACAAAGATACATTGTAAGAAGTGGCACAACAATTTGAAATAGTTTGTTTTCGTTAACACTACACAATGAGAAATATTGTTCTATATCAGACAGGGTACAGTATCAAGTAAGGAGTGAGTGTATAATATGAGAGTGACATACCTATGTAAACAACGAATATGAATATTACAAAAATGTGGACAAAAAAGGGGAAATGTAAGCATGTAATTATGAACAAATTAATTAGCGGACATGCATACACTTATAGCACAATTATCCTAACGAACAATATTCTTTTCAACGATTTCTCATCAAGTTCTACAATTCTATATCCAAATAAACAATCCACAAAATTGGCCAGGTTTGAAGCAGAGTACATCGTTGATATTATAACATGTGAATTAAGGATTGTTTGTAATGTAAAATCAAATTGTTAATGCTTGGGTGTCTAATATAAGGTGCTAACTTGAATAAGGTCATACGTTAAAGGAAATTATGAGAATAATCATCAGAATAAGTATGGTCAACTTGGAGTAAGACAGAAAGAAGTATATTTACAGATCGAAAATCACATAATATGTACCATGATACGAATTAGACAAGAATTAGTAGATAGGAGTGGATGCTGAATAAATATCTCAAAAGGTTAGCAGGTGTAATAATAATGATAAAATAATAATAATAATAATGATAATGGTAAGATGTGTGGATAAGTTAGGCTTATGATATAAAAATGAACAGTGGTTAAATTACGTCACCATATCATAAAAAATAAATAATGACTAGTTGGCTTCGAAGTTGGCCAAAGTGAAAGGAGCGGCTGAACATGTTTCTTTTGGATGCAAAGCTCTGGCACTTTAATCCGAATAGCAATTACTTCAATCGTCTGCAGGATTCCCAGTATAATGGAATTAGGGAGACTGTTGTTAACATGATATATTACTATGAAAGATTGCTCCATGTTGGTCGCATATTCTGTTCGGATTAAATGAACTTAAATGGAGCTGTTAACAGTTTTAACTGTGCATTTGCTTAACCACACACATACATTTATAACGTGTTCGCGGTTCGAAATGGCGTGAAAACAGAGTAATAAATAGTTTATGGGCATGACAGGAATAATTCTTGAGAGTAAGTAGAGTGGAATATTACAGATATTGGCCTGTAGTGCAGATAGAATATAAGGATAAAGATTAATTGATTGTAAAATAGTTCCAATAAGCCTCAGTAGAGTGAATAGTGTCGATTGGTTTCGTAGGATAAAAATAATCCAGCCATAAAATGGTAACTGCATTGATGAATGATATTTGTTGCTGTACTGTAATTGGCACTAATCATAAAATGCGAAGCCAGTGTTGTTGTTGTTTGTGTCATAACCAAATGAATCGAGTTATCGGTAAATATGCATTGATAGAATGACCAGAGGAAGAGAGTAGTGCCTTCGAAGTCGAGACACAAGGAGTCGTATTCTTTTTTTGTAATGCCTAGTATTGTTTGTGTAGTTAAAGGGATATGTACTGGACTTAGTTTGTTACAAAAGCGTACTAAGGCGTGATAAAAGTGCCAATACATATGACTATCGATGACGGGCGAGTGAGACTGGCTTCGATGTGACGAATAAGAGTATATCTTTGAGAGACTAGCTCTATGTTCTGATCTACAGTGTGGCAAGGACAGGATTTTAGTTTCAGTAACCAAGTGCTGTTTGCGGGTAATGAGTGATGCAGCATGCAGTTTTACATGCGAATACTTAAATAAGATTAATATAATTGTCACTTATTGGCTAGTAATGCAACAACGAATATTTGATGCATATGTGGACAATAAGGCAAGGATCATCGACTAAACAAAGAGTGGCTGAAGCTCGGTTTGTATTGTCGTTGAAAAAGTGGAAGACAACAATTGCTGCGTAATAATGCAATGAATGGGCATTAGTTGTATATCGAGACCCTAACTTCACGCTACAGAGTGTACGGCTCTAAACCTGTGTCCGTAATAGCGTTGTTAACCGTTGCCAGTGATATGGTAGCTGCGATCGTGCTATTTTCAACGTAAGCAGGTTCACTCGACTGTTAAGACTGACTATTTGTATGCCTGCGTGAGTCGCTAGACCGTCAATTTACTTAGCGTGTTGCAGGTTGTTCGATGTACGAGTAGCTAGTAAATAAGTTGAAGACAAATGAAATGTTATTACCGAATATCCACAAAAGTGAACGATAATGAATAGGTCATAGGTGTGGCAGGTACTTCTGAACATTAAAAAAGCTAAAAAACGTGGATACAGAATAGTATGAATTCAATATATTTCGTAGTTTTATAGAATTCTGGTCTAGTTCGTTATTAATACTGCTATAATAATAGAAATAACCCTGAAATTTCAGACTTTTCATAGTGTGACTGTCTAGTCATTGAGATTATACATGGAAGTCACATCACTGTCCACGCTGACTCATCGTATCATACTGAACACTTTGAAAGAACATATTTTGTCTGGGGATGGAATAATAAATTCAACAGGCATCATTACAAGGTTTAAGTTGATCATTTCAAACAAAATGAGCATTGGGTAGATTATGGTAAATAAAAATAATATATTTGTAACATCCGAATGAGTAGAAAATGAGATTTTCCGACGTTTCGTGACTCAGTGTAACCCACTTCTTCGAAGAACAAATAACCAAATTAAATCAGTCCAAGTTCAAAACGTACAAAAAGATAAAGCAAGAATATCAAGTGCTGTTAACAAAAACATGTCTGAAAAGATCAATGTGATGTCATTCCGATCAAGGTGTCTTATATTAGACATGTGTGTCACTATGGACAAGCATCTGAAGCAATTACGACAACTATTCATGCAAATACGAAAGCATGGAATCTCTGCAAACGTTGAGATGTGTGAGTTCAGAAGGGGATCCCTGTAGTTACTAGGTCACATAGTAACTTTGCAGTGTATTACGCCGATCTCAGCAAAGGTCTGTGATATCAGAGATTGTCCATTATCCGAATCTTGGAAGAACTTACGACGATTTCTCAGGCTAGCAAGTTATTACAAACGCTTATTCTGAATTATGCAGCAATAATTCAACCGTTGATTGACATGCTCGAACATTCTATTTATCAGCAGAGGCGACACAAGCATTTGAAAACGCCAAGAAGGCAACAAACAAAGATAAAACGCTGGCTAGACGAAAGAGCGAAACACCAATAACTGCCATGACCTGTAACGGTATTAAAAATCATTACAGCTGACGTTACTAACGTGAGTTTGTTTTTCTTATTGCAGGGCAGCAAAGAGTAAACATACTGGAAGGAGAGTAACAAGCCCTATGTGGGCTGAACCTGCAGAACAATGGGTAAAACTATTTTGTAGTAAGTTTCCTTTTTGTACCGGAACCGTGTCTTTCGATTTTCAAAAATATATCTGTTGTGCAGATACGCCTCGGCATTTACTGATCATGACTGTTGCGTTGTTGTTTCACATTACTCCTGCTTCCAAGTGAATGCTAATATAATGTGCTACAGACCGATGGATTGAATGAGGCGGTAAGAACCGTTTCACAACCGCTTCCATTTTTTCTCGAAGA